ATGAAGGATTACTGTCAAGGGAATACTTATATATAATATATATATATATATATATATATATATAGAGAGAGAGAGAGAGAGAGAATTTCTTCAAATAATTATAATATACTTCACAATGCTAAACAAAACTTGAGTTAAACAAACTTTCAATTACTTCTGGTCACTATTTAAATGGATATTAACTGTAGTTTATTATCTGTACAATCTAACACACTCCAAACACTTGGGAGAAATTAGTTATTTTTTAATTCATTTAGGCTTCATAAGTTATGCTCAGAGCATAAAGATTAACAAAAGTGTTAAATCTTGTTTGCAAACAATTTTAAAATAAAATTCATTATTTAATTTCTGTAGTGCATATTGGTGTATAGAAGGCATATTAATACTAAAAATAACCCTAAAATGTTGTTTTTAATTCATTAAACACTCAACATTTTGCATTATAGCTTCTTTATGAGCATTCACTAAAACAAACTTAAACTAACAGTACAAAGCTTCAAAATAAAATGTTGAGATTTTAAAACTTAGCATCATCATCATTTTAAAAATCTTGACTTTTAGACCTTTTCTCTTCTTATATATATATCCTATAAGTTTTAAGAACTGATTAGCCCTATCACAATGGGCTTGTGTATTTTACCTAATCATGTAACCATGGTGGTATACATACTATAACTCTGAAAGTACTTAATGTATCTTTACAAACTTTGGCTAGCTTTCAGTAAACTTTAAGTCGTTTTGTAGGTACAACATCAAAAGTTTTAATTAAATATTTTTACTAAAACTTTGTCTTTAATTATATGGTATTGACTGCTTTAAGTGGAAATAACTTTAATTAAAAATGCTTTTCTTCATCTGCAAATTTTCAAATTTCATTTGCATAATTCCTAAAACCTCCTAAATAAATATCAATTTTTTTTTTCTCAGAAAAACTATATTTTATCTGTTATTTTCTGTAACCTAACTTGATACAAGGTAGGCCAAATTGACCAATCTCATAACCACACACACTAATCTAAATTACCTTTTTACTTTCTAGAATGACTTCAAATTGTAACATGAAAAAACATTTGTTTATCCTATATAGCTCTAAACTCGTAACACTATACACTTGTTTCTACTTAAAAAAAATTTTTTTATTCTCATTTGAACTGTGCCTAAGTAATATTTGCTCCATACAAGTTGTAAATCACATGGCAAATGTCAAGCTCACATAACCCTATCAAATAATATAACACCCAGGGAAGACATAGATAACAAACTTCACAGTTCTCATACTAGGGGAGATTGAGGATTTTTTAAAATATTGATGTACATTGATAATAAAATTGTTAAATGAAATTTTGAATGTAACTCTGTAAAAGGTGTTATGTGCACTCTGACCTCCACCCATAAACATAGAGTTAACAATATAGAAATATAATGGCAATATTTAGATTACTTGAATAGTCAGAATCATCAATATTAGTATGAGATTGAAATCATAACTTTTGATTAGTTAATTATTTTGTGAGTCATAATTTTAATCAATTAAACTGAACAAAAGTGAATTGATTAAAAATAATGAAAAATTGTATTGGGAATATTTCAATTACTGTTTAGTTGGAATAATCAAAAACAGTAACAACTGGAAACACTATCTATTTTCACAACATGAATTAATCTTCATAGGTAATTAATTATGTTGATTAATCACCCAGTCCTAGTCAGCTGAATGAAAACATTGCAAAAATATTGAATTTATGAAATAGCACATTCTCCCACAATCCATTAAAAACATGTATGTCAAAAATGAATAGATCCTATATATTAAACAATTTGTTAACTTTGTAAATATCATGTTTTTAACAGCTAAAAAAAGCCTATCTAGTGAATTAGTGACAAAAAAACAGAAGCAAACAACTTCTGTAAGTAGTGACAATCCCCCTTATTTTTTTTAAGATAGCCCCATTAAAATGTTTGGTTGTAATCACAATTTTTAAACTAAACAATGTTTTTAGGAACACCAATATTTTATTACAATGTTATCATACTTGCTATAGTTAATTTTTAAATATTGGAGTTAACCTGTTTTGATATTTAATGCATGTTTGGAAACTGATGGATTATTATTTTATTGCAAAGCCTATTTAGGAGTCACTGTGAATTGGATAAATGAAGATACGCTGGAATGTAAGCAAAGAATCACCTAATCAAGATAGTATGAGAAAAAATGGAAGATGAAGACAATTATTTCAGATGTCTGCAAACAAAGGGGGTAGAAAGTACTGGATGTAAAAGTGCTCAAGTAATTGGTGCTTATCTAGAGAAATCTTTTGTAAAGTCTATTCACAATGATGAATTTCCAGATGCAGTCTTAAAGTTAGTTTTCATTTTAATAAATACAGCTTTTCCATCACATTCTGCAGCTAAGATGATTTTTTTCAGTTGGAAAAGACGTGCTGAGGATCAGGGATGTTTGATGCAAGCTTTGAAAGAACTGTTTTCTTGAAATGTAACAACGATATTGGTCTCCAAAAATAATTGTTTTAACACTGCAGTTATTACATGAAGTAAACTCTGTTAGATTATTTCACACTAATTGATAAGCTACTTATTAGTTCTGTTAGTCGTTTGTACTCCTTTTTCTTTTATTATAATACATAGCTCTTACTTTGAATATTATAAAGGAAAATAAAAGAAGCTCCTTTAATTGCTATTAGAAAATCTCTCAATGTATAATGAATTCTTTTGCTTGAGTTCAATGCCTGTAGTTCAGTTCAGTATATATATATATATATATATATTATATATATATATACTA